TGTATCAGTGGCAGATACAAGGGGGGCCACATGGGTCATGACCCCCCCTTGGTACGCCCGGGGGAACCACAGGCCTGTCAGGGGCACCACCGGCCTAGCAGGGACACCACCAGCCCGCCAGGGGCACCACAGGCCTAGCAAGGGCACCACGGGCCTGTGAGGGGCCCACAGGCTTGTCAGGGGCACCCCAGGTCTGTCAGAGACACCAGAGACCTGCCAGGGGCGCCGCCGGCCTCGCAGGGGCACCATGGACCAGTCAGGGGCACCAGAGGCCTAGCAGGGGCACCACAGGCCTTACAGGGGCACCACCGGCCTTGCAGGGGCACCTTGGGCCTGTCAGGGGCACCACAGTCCTGTCAGGGCCCAGGGGCACCAGCGGCCTAGCAGGGGCACCACAGGCCTGCCAGGGGCACCACCGGTCTAGCAGGGGCACATTGGGCCTGTCGGGGGCATCACGGGCCTGTTGGGGGCACTTTAGGCTTGTCAGGGGCACCACAGTCCTGTCAGGTCCCAGGGGCATCAGCAGCCTAGCAGGGGCACCCTAGGCCCGCCAGAGGCACCACAGGCCTGCCAGGGTCCAGGGGCACCACCAGTGTTCTAAAATTGGATATTGGTTGGGTGTGCCGATGAAAAAAAAAATCCTAGGATGAGAAAAAAGAAAGTAAATAACTGCAGTATTTTTGCAAAATGGTGTAATGCAAATTTTTATGCTAACTGATAAACCAGGATTTCATGTCAGGATCTTGACAGGGTGTGGAACAAAAGGATGTGGGTGCATCAACTGTCAAGTGACAAGTGAACTGGCTGTTGGGAATACATGAAACTCTTTTCAGAGATGAAGTAAAGTCGGTCATTCATATTTTAGGGATGAAAATATTTTCCCCATTAGGTGTGATTTGCCACCAAAAAGGCTGAAAAATGAAACACTGGGCACCACAGGCCTAGCAACGGCACCACGGGCCTGTCAGGGGCACCTCAGGCTCCCGTGCCCCCCCCCCCCCCGGATCCGCCAGTGGTGCCACACCACGCGAAACACCGCCAACTACCAGCTGCCGCGCCATAAACACGTGCCAACAACAGTCTTTTTTTAATGTCGACTCCGCTCGCGCAACTTTTGACTGACCCTCACTGCTACCATATTGCTTCCATATTATGCTGTGGAAAGGTTTACTTCACCAAGTGGCTAAAAACCTCTATCAAGGTATATTTTCTTAGCAATTTTTCTGACGTTTTTTTTTTTTTTGGGGGGGGGGAGCAAACAGGCCACTTTAGGCCTGGGGGGGGGGCATGGCCCCGTGGCCCCCCTGGATCCGCCAGTGGGCAACGGACCCCCCCCCCCCCATACGTTCGCGGCTGACAAAACGCCAATACGGGCGAGGTTTAAGTCCATATACTGGGTGTCCCAGAAAAAAGTACCAAATTTAAATTAGGAGTACAAAGAAAAATATGCGCGTGACATGTAAAATTTTAACATCAATCGAAAGCGTGATTCATGGAAATTATGTTGTATGGCTCGAGCGCTCTGTCAGTCATGAAGCCGTTTAATACTGAACAAAAAACCAAAATAGTCGAATTTTATCTCAAACACGGATCAGCCGTTTTAACGCAAAGGCAGTATCGCAGACATTTTAAGGTCCGAGAAGCTCCAACGATAAAGACCATACAGCGTCTGACTGAGAAGTTTCTGGCAGAAGGGTCCATTAGTAACCAGAATGCCGGAAACAGTGGTCGGAAAAAAAAACATCTCGCAGCCAGGAGGCCATACGAAAGGTCGCAGAGCAGGTTGGTCAGACGCCGAAAGTGTCGGTGCGGCGCCTCGCGTCTAGGGTCGGTCTCAGCAAGTCCTCCACTCACAGGATTCTCAAGAAGGATCTCGCCTTATCTGCCTTTAAGCTTAAAGTGTCTCAAAAGCTGTTTGCTGCGGATTTTGAGCAGAGGGAACAATTTTGCAAATGGTTTTTGGAAAAGTGCACAAACAACCCAAACTTCTTGTCTTGTGTTTGGTGGTCTGATGAGGCCCATTTTCATCTGAACGGGCAAGTGAACCGCCAAAATTACAGGTTTTGGGCGGAACGGCCACCAGAGGAAGTTCTCGAGGCTCCGCTGCATTCCCCGAAGGTGACTGTGTGGTGCGCGTTGAGCGCGCAGGGAATCATCGGCCCATTCTTGTTTGAAAATGGTGCTGGCGAGACGGTCACTGTCAATTCCCGGCGCTACCTTACCATGCTTAAACGCTTTTTGCGGGCACTCACAGCGAGTTGTGCGGACACCCTGAACCAGCAATGGCTGCAGCAAGATGGCGCAACGGCGCATACATCACGCGCCAACTTGGCCTGGCTGCACGAGTGTCTAGAGGGGCGTGTCATCTCCCGGCGGGCCGCGGTGACCTGGCCGCCGCACTCTCCTGACCTCACGCCCCTCGACTTTTACCTGTGGGGTTATCTGAAAAGTGTGGTGTATCAGGAGGCACCAGAAGACCTAGCGACACTGAAACGGGCGATTCGCGCGGCCATTCGCGCGATTCCACCTTCCGCATGTGCTCGGGTCGCAGAGGAAGCCAGGTGCAGGGCGGAGCGGTGCCTGGCCCAAGAAGGCAGGCACTTCGAACATGTGCCGGTGTGAGTGACAGGAAGGAGTGGCATGGTCCATTTGTAGCGCAAATAAATCTCCATGGAACTGGCTCGCTTTTGATATGCGTTTAAAGCATTAGTGCCGAATAACAAAAAAATATATTGTCTAAACAAATGTGGTACTTTTTTCTGGGACACCCTGTACATTCAGGCATGAGACAAGAAAGCTCCTGGTTAATAGTGTTAATGAACTATGAAGAAGCTTCAGCTATTAAGAAGCTTCTGAAATCTCTCAAGCTGAAGTTGATTATACTCAGTGTTGTTATGACCATTCCTCAGTTTTCTGACAAGAATCACACATTTGGCCATGGCAAACGTTGAAAATACCTTTTTCTTTAAAAAAGTGCCTAATGACAATCTTAGTTTCCAACAAATTTGCAATTAAAACCAACCAGTACACAATACAGAACACGTGCCTATGAATGCGAATAAAAATGTGATATCTTGTCGATTTCTCCTACATGTTAACCCTCGCCGGCACAGGCCATTTTGACTCTGGTTGGCAGAGGTTTTCACGTTTGCCCCAAGGTCACTCAATCATCAAAGCAATATTTCAGTTTTTCAGCATAGGAACTTTGAGAATGTTTATTTTCTAGTTTTCTTGACTTACGAGTATGTCTGGGTGGGGGGGGGGGCAAAAGATAGTATGCCCCCCCCCCTTTGACCGTCTTGGGCTGGCCCCCCTGGATCCGCCCTTGACAAAAACCCATTTTGAAGCTAGTCACTTGTCATGATGTTGCCCTCTTTGTTTTGGCCTTGTAGTCGTCACTCGACCAGATCAGACGTCAAAGCGCCGCCGAATACTGAGCAGTGTATTCTACTCGTGTTAGTTTCTGTAAACGATACAATAAATTAACACACAATCACGGAAATCGTCCCGAATGGCCCTCAAAGGTTGGGCCTCACACTGCACGTGCACACAGCACCGGGTTACGTCCGTTAGCAGCAGTTCACATGGGTCAATACGCATCAATCGATAGGCTAGTCATCAATAATCAGGCGCGGTAAAGAAACAACATCCGGTGAAAATAAACGAGTACAATAGGTAATTCTTACCGGCCTTTGGCGCCTCCACGCCACTGACGGCGCTGACGCCGACTCCGGCGAAAACCGCGCTCCTGCGCCCTGGGCGGCGCACCGCGGCGTTCACGACGCCTCTGGGGTCGCGCTACGACGCTTCTCGTGTCGGCGTTACGACGCCCCTCGGGTCGGCGTTCACGACGCCCCTCGGGTCGGCGCTCACGACGCCTCCCGTACCGACGGCCTCGGGACACGACGCCTCACGAGGCGTTCACACGCCTCACTCCGGCGAACCCGGCGCACCTAACACAAACAGGGCAGCCTCTAGGTAACAAATACGACAATGATCATCGAACAACGACATTCCAAGCTATTTCATATTTCATTTACGTTAAATTGCAGTACAATTCATTCATCATTTGACTTACACTGCGTCCGCGGTTCACACCTGCCACACACGACCGCTCACGGCGGAGACCGGCATCGGAAAGAACGCGCCTAGAGCGCGGCCCACCGCGCAGTCCACATCACCGGCGAAAATATTCCACTTTCGCGTCGCACAGTAACTAATCGAAAATAACAATACGAATAAATGCATCACAAAATATTGTTACACTATATCCAGTGTGGCAACGCGAAGCATACATAAATTAAATCGCTAATTATATTTTGCAAAACAAAAAAAAACTACTCGCAGCCCATCTCTATGATTAGAGTTGCCGCTTTTCAGCCGGAGGGGCACACACGGACTCCGGCTATCGAGCCCGGCAATGCGTAAGCGGGCGGTCTTTACACTCCCCCTTCGGTCAGCCTAGACCTGACCGAACACCACACAGACCGCCCGGTCGATTCACACTGATCTTAAATACTAGCTCTCGCGATATTTCTCCGCACACACAAACGTCCCGCTAATCGGACAGTCAGTAGGAGTTTCAGTGGCTGTTTACTATTCTAATCTATTTCTAACCCACCGATCACCCGAGCTACCTGCTCACTATAGTTCGGTAGATAATAAAATAAACTAACCTTCTCACTGAGTGTACTTACAACCTAAATTCTTGCACACCCTGTAACGCAAGTGTGCCACACCAGTCCCCACTCCACCTGAGTTACCACTCAAGGTCGGATTGCGCGCTGATCAAAATCAGTTTATGTATCGGTCTAATGTACGTTGAGGACCGGGTCTTAACCCTCACCTTCCTCACTAGTCCGTCCTCGCTTTCGAACACTTCCGTCACGCGGGCCATGCGCCACATGCCCCTGGGAGCGTCCTCGTCCGTCAGTAGCACTACATCACCTACGCTCAGGTTTCGAGACACCCTGTCCCACTTCTGCCTTTTCTGTAGGGTCAACAGGAATTCGCGCTTGAACCTGCCCCAGAACTGAGCCGCGAAGTACTGTGCTTGTCGCCAGCGGCGACGCGAGTAAGCGTCAGAGTCAGACGTCTCTACCGGCATCATCCGGCCTCCTCTCAGCAGAAGGAGGTGAGACGGAGTGATCGGCTCTACCTCACCCGAGCTGAGCGACACATACGTCAGCGGACGGCTATTCATGATCCCTTCTATCTCACAGAACACCGTACGTAGCGTCTCGTCATCTAACGTCTGAACGGGCATGCTACGCCAAATCTTTCGGAAAGTGCGGATCTGTCTCTCAATGAACCCTCCAAAATGGGAAGCAGTAGGCGGGTTAAATGTCCAGTCTATCCCCTGTTTGAGAGCCTCCCGCTGCAAATCTACACGGTTTACGTCACGAAGAGCCTGCTTAAGCTCGTTATCAGCGCCCACTAAGTTCGTCCCCATGTCAGACACTACTTGCTCGATAGGGCCCCGGCGCGCAGCTATTCTGCGGATGCCGTTAATCATGGAATCCGTCCGTAACGAATCCAGTATCTCTACGTGAATCCCACGCGTGACCATACAAGTACACATTAGCCCGTACCGCAGTTTCTCCCCCCGTCCCGACTTCACCGAGATAGGACCGAACACATCTAGTCCCACTCTAGAGAAAGCGGGAGCGTTCGCGTCAGTGCGCGCCGGCGGCAAGTCTGCCATCAGCTGGCGCTGCGGTCGCGCGTTCGCCTTCCTACACACCACGCACGACCGCAGCATCTTTCTGATCTCGGGCCCGGCACCCAAAATCCAGAACCGTTCGCGCAGCTTCCAGAATGTGTGCTCTCTACCTTGGTGTCCGACCTTCTCGTGCGCCTCTCTCATCACTAGCCGCGACACATGGTGGCGTCTAGGCAATATCACGGGATGCTTGGATACGTCCGCGACAGAGCGCGATCGGCCTAGGCGCCCTCCGACTACCATCAACCCGTCCTGCATCATCGGGCGCAGCTTAGCTAGCGGACTGCGCCTGGTCACTTCGACCGCGCCGTCGCTAGTAGCACCGTTCGGACGCTCGGCGAAACGTCTCTGGACATATCTCAAGACAGCACCCTCAGCCGTGCTCAACTCTGCTACAGTCAGCAAAGTTTCCCCACAGTAAGGACGGCTCCTCAGACCCTTGCGCCTGGATAGACACCATCTGCGATAATCGCCACTCCGGATGACCTCCGCAAACTTACGGTACCACGCCACGGAGCGTTTGAGCCGATAGTAGGACGAGAAGTACCGGAGAAGTCTCTCGACCGGAAGATCGGGTGCCGCGTCCACAGCGACCGCTGCCACTGGCGTTGATCGCTTCACCTCAGCTGCTGGTATGACAGCTGGAGCGGCCGGCTCCTCGGGCCACGCACCCGGCGGTCCCGTCAGAAACTCAGGTCCCGTGAGCCACGGACCTAAGTCGCCAGGGGCAGAGCCGCGAGAGCCCATGTCAGCTGGGTTCTTACCTGACGGCACGTAAGCCCAGTCAGACACCTGTGACCCGTCATGAATGTACGACAGCCTGTTCGCTACATATGTTTTGAAACGCGTCGTGCGGTTCCGGACGCACCCGAGAACCACCATGCTGTCGGTCCACATACGAACATCGTCGAGCTCGACATCCAGCTCCTTCTGCAGCAGCTTCCTGACTCTGACGGCCAACACTGCTGCGGCTAGCTCCAATCGCGGTATCGATACAAAACGCACCGGCTTAACCAGTGACCGACCCATCAAGAACACCACCGAGCACTGGATCTCTCCTCCCGGAGCACGCACCTCTCTCCTCAGATAGGCGACTGCAGAGTAGGCCAGCTCGCTGGCGTCTGCGAACACATGGAGCTGTGTGCTCACCGCCTCCCCCGGTGGGCCCACGATCGAGCGCGGCAGCTGAACACTGCCGATCTCAGCAGCCCTGGCCAGCCACTGCTGCCACTCTCTGGAAAGCTCCTCGGGGAGCGGCTCGTCCCACCCGCAGGGAACCACGCACAGTTTCTGCAACAGCAGACGACCAGTCAACACCACAGGTGCCACGATCCCCAGCGGATCGAAGACCGAGCCGACAGTCGACAGGAGACCTCGCCTCGTCACTGGCCGGTCTCCTCCACAGAACTGAAAAGTGAACACGTCACACTCCATATCCCACTTCATACCGAGGACACGCTCGGCGACCAGTTCATCTTTGTCTAAATCTAAACTCTTTACCTGTTTCCCCCGGTCCCCTACCGGGATCTGCTTCAGGAACTCGGGGCTGTTGCTCGTGAATTTTGTCATGTTAAACGACCCGTTCCTGCACAGTTCCTTTAGCCCATGAGCTAATTGAACTGCGCTCTGCACGGAATCTGTAGCGCATAGCGCATCGTCGACATAGGTGTTCCGGAGCAGAGCATCGGCGGCCTCAGGATATACATCGCGGCCTTCCTCCGCGCAGCAGCCCAGCGCGAGACTGGCCACGCTGCCGCTGGATACTGCTCCGAATACGTGCGATCTCATTCGGAATACCTGTACCTCGCCATCAGGATCGCCGTTCCGAAACCACAGAAACCTCAGCAGGTTTGAGTCGGCCTCGGGGACATGCACACGGTGATACATGGACTCCACATCACACGTGAACGCGACAGAACCCTCTCTGAATCGACACAAAACTCCGATCAGAGAGTTTGTGAGGATCGGTCCTGCTCTCAGAAGGTCGTTCAGACAGATGCCCTGGCTTTTAGCAGCGCAGTCGAACACGACACGCAGCTTACCTTTCCTTGGCTCGAGAACGCCGTGGTGAGGTAGGTACCACACCGCGTCCGCCTCCATCTCTCCCTCTGACACCGCCACTGCGTAGCCATCCTCGATCAACGACGTGATCATGCGGCGATACGCTGCGAAGTACGCGCTGTCTGACTTGAACCGCCTTCTGAGCGATTCGAGCCGCCTGCGCGCAGTCGGTAGACTGTCTGGAATTCGATCAAACGCTGCCTTAGGCAACGGGACCTCAAAATGACCATCCTTGTCACGCGTTACACTGGGGCGAACACTCGCCAGCCACTCTCTGTCCTCAACAGACATCCCCTGACTGTCATCCGACATACCTTGAAAGTCCTGCTCATACAGGCGTCTGTAGAAACAGCCCGACACATCAGACACGTCCTGCTGCGGAGGCGACTCACCGGAGCCCTGGACTCTGAGGAAGTTAACGGATAACCTCTCGTGTGCGCCACCTGATCCGGGGACCCGACCCATGACGTACCAGCCCAAGGCGGTACGGACCGCACAAAGTCCAGCCTCACCCTTCGGCGGGGGTCGCACCTCTTCCGCCACGATTAGCTCCGCACAGTCCGAGCCCAGGAGAAGCTCCACCGGCGCGTCAGCCTGCACGGCGTCGATCCCCTGCAAGTGAGGAGCGGCGGCCACCTCACTTCGCTGGCACCTGTCATCGAGGGTGACAGGCAGCGTGCCGATCGTAAGGAGGGGCGGAACACGGTGATACGGACCACCCTCCATTCCCCGCACCTCTACATCGGGAACCAGTGACGTCACCATTGTTCTCCTGCTACTGCCCACGGTGTCTATATCCACAGAGGTCCTCTCCGCTCTGGCCCCTATACAACTAGCCAGTCGCTCGGTCAGGAAACTTCCGGACGAGCCGGGATCGAGAAGCGCGTTAGTCACCACGGGTTTACCAGACGGACCTCGGATACACACCGTGACCACAGGCAGCGCCGTTCGGCACGCACCCGACATGCCCAGGCTCGCGCTGATCACAGCGCCGCTGTACCCGTCACGCGACGCGGGCTGGTCGGCACCCCTAGAGGGCGCCACTGCCTCGCCGCCGGGCGGCATCACCGACATCGCGCCTACCGGACCGGCCGCGACTCGTCCTCCGAGAGGTGCGCCGGCAGCTCCGCCGTCACCGACCGGAGTCCCTCGGCCACGCTGCGCCCCCGGCGCGAAGCGCGTCGGCTGCTCACCCTGAAACACGGCCTGAACATTAGCCGACCCGGACGGGGCCGGACCACCATGGAACACCGAGAGGTGGGGCCCAGCACATACCCTGCAGCGCTGCGGTTTCCTACAGAATCGCGCCTGGTGCCCTCTCCTCGCACACGCGAAGCACAGCCTGTGCTGCATCAGAAAGCCGCGCCGTTCCCTCCACGGCCGCGACCCCAGCGCCCGGCAGTCAGCCACACCGTGAGAGCCCCCACAGAAGACGCAGCTAGCAAGCTCCGACCCAGACGTCACCTGAGTCACGTTCACGGCGTGCCTGCGTGGGGCGCCGGAGCTGTCTGTCCGGTAGTTCGACTCTGCTGGTCGAAACCCGAAGAATGGATTCTTTCTCACGCGCACCTCGGCAGTCAGGAACCCCACCACATCGGAGAACCTAGCCATGCGCCGCTCGGTCTGGCCCAGTCTATCGACCTCCCTCAACCAACGGTCCTGCAGGTAAGGAGGGAGCTTCGAGATTATCAAACGGAGGGTCGACGGGTGCTCAAAATCACTCATCGCGACGCCGGACATGGCGTTCAAGACTTCCGTGAGGAACAAAGCGAACCTGTCTAGGGCCTCGACATCACCAGGCGGGACACGACCCCATGCCCTCACTTTCTCCACATAGGAGTCGATTAGCCTTAGCGGGCTCCCATACCGTTCCTCCAGGAGCTGCTTGGCACGCTCGTACCCCTGCCCACCCAGGTGGAGGCAGCTTTTCACGAGCTGATTCGCTTTTCCTCGTGTGAATTGCTCTAGATAAAACAAGAGCTCACTCCTGTCGTCGGACCTACTCTCAATACGTGACTCAAACGCACTTAGAAAAAGTCTGAACTCTTCCACGTCCCCTGAAAACGGCTTGATTTCGGTGGGCGGTAAAAGTGACTTCCTTAACTGCACAGCCAGTGCACCCTCTGCAGGACTGACATCCTGGCCGGCAGCACGCCCCTGATCCCCTGATCCTATCTGAAACTGAGTGAAATCCTCCCCGTGGTGTCCCATATCGGCTAATTTAAGTTCTATGTCAATCTGTTCTGCACGAGACCGCAGCGACAACTCGGCCTGCTCCGCCTTCGCCTTTACGCTCAACCTCTCCTGCTCAATCTGGTGTCTCTCCTTCATTAATCTCAAACGTGCCATGA